GCACCTGTGAGAATATTTGAAGACAATCACGCATAAATAGAAAACAATTTTATCAAGAGCTGACGGTGATTCTTTCATTTCAAGCGTTTTCAATATGTTCTGCTCTTCCGGCATATTGTTCAAATATAATAAAAGCTAAGCTTATTTATGGGTTTGCACCAAATAGATCCTCCAAGCCGTAATTATTTCGTACGATACGAAAGACGCTTTAAACAATATATTGCCGGGTGTTAGGACTCAAAAAAGAGACTTAGGACACTTTAACATTTAAAGCCCACTTCACTTTTCTTTCTTAACTTTAAAATCATAGACATATATATAAACACACATACGCACGCCTGTAGGCCTACATACAGATATATATATATATATATATATATATATATTTAAATATGTATGTACATATATCACTTTCATTCAAAGTAACTAACAATGTCAGTCCGCACAACTCGTGAATGACAGGCTGACTAGTTAGCATGTTTTATGCAACTTTGTTATGTTAATTAGTCTTGTTACGAGTTTTTCACTGAGATGATTTTTCGTTAGATGTGAATTCTAAAGTTTTTTTTTATTCTTTTTCTCTCTAAGAGTCAACATCTGTATATATGTAAAATGTTTAAGAATATGTAAAAACTATACATACCTTAGATACTTTTATTTACTTAAGTAAGTGTATATATACGCGTCTATAATGCATTCATAAGACGTGAGTTTTAGAAAGACAAGATTAGAGTATATTTTCAAACTTGAAAAGTAAGGGAACGAAGTTATTGTACAGGAAGTGCTTTCGGCTGAAGCTTTGAAATAGTTTAAGTATCTAAGAAAAATAAATTAAATTTTATGTTATGATATCTAGCATTCGGTTGTGAGATTTGTAGAATAAGTTGCTTTCTGTTTTTTCTTTAGTCACATTCTGGTCTTTGTTATCTCTTATTTCATTCTTTTTATCATCATCATCATCGTTATTATTATAGAAGAAATGTTAAAATTATGTCAAGTAGTGTTAGATACGAACAAACGTGCATGTGTTTGTTTTTGCGGGGTTTTTTTTCTTTTCTTTTCTTCTCTTCGCTTCTCTTCTCATTTCTTTTTCTTTTTTTTTCTTGAATAAGAAAAGTAAACTCGAATGCTTGTTTTTATAGATATTAAGTACTTTACCGTATCGCTTCAGAGCGTACCGCAATTTCATAATCTTCATCTTTATGCGCTCATTATCATTATCTGCAATTCGTACAAGCTTGGTATTATTGTGGTGTAAAATTTATCATAGTCGCAAAAAAAAAAAAAAAAAAAAAACTATAAGCATAGGCGCGCTCTTGTTGTGATAAGAGTGGGGTCGGTGTAGAATAGTTCTAGTAAATGCAGACAAAAAGAAATTCGTTTTTTTTTTTTTAATTCTAACAACCCAAGCTATGAATGTGTTCGTTCAGTCAATGCCGTAGTAAGTGCGTACGTATGATTTGTTAGGTGTAAGAGAGCTGGCAACTTCATCGTAAATACAAATAAAGACGTATGTATGGATGTACGCTCGCCTTGTTTGCATTGTTCGTTTATGTGGCATAAATGTAAATGTATGCACGGATTGGTGTGAAGGTGCGTTAATGGTATATGCAATGTGATTAACGTGCATGCATTGACAACAAAGATTCTGTGATGGAAAAGAGAGAAAACTTTTCTACAGCATTCCCTCGCTCTTCAAACGCAACAAATATAATAGTTTCTTGTAAAACTTTTCCACACACTTATACACGTACGCAGATCTTTTACTTAACGTATAGGCAGGCTGGGCTTGTTTATGCTTGCGTTTATTTATTATATTTTTCATACGCAAATGTTTGCACCTGAACACGTGCGCCTATAAATACATCCACTCATTCCTCGTAACCAACTTCTTATATATTAAAGCTCTTCTTTATATTAAAACAAATAGATATAAATATATATTAATATGTAAGTATGTATGTATATATGCTTTCTCTTTCCACTTCATTTGGGTGATAAACCAACAGTGTGTTCCTGAGAATACGCATTAGAAATGTTTATATCGTTTCTTGCTATCTCTCTCTCTCTCTCTCTCTCGTTGTCTCGCTTTCTTTTTCATCTCCTTTTAACTATCGTTAAGAAATTCATTTAAATTTATTTCAGTTCATACAATTTTGCCGTTCGTGGTAATGAAGGGTTGAAGATTTTAAAATAATTACACTTGAAATTATTAAAGAATTTTTTTTTTCTGGTTTTTTTTTTTTTTTTTTTTTTTATCAAAACGCCGAAAGCTTTATGGTGAATGATTAAAAAGAGGGTTTTAAGCGGCAGCATGTTAAAAGCAGCGTTTAATGAAAGTTTTCAATTTTCTTTTCTAATTAAATGATAAGAGTGAATAACACCAGTGAAATTCATAAGAAAATTTTCCATGATAGTTTACTTTTTGTATACCTACAACCACTATCAAGGTTAGAGAAATATTCGCTTCATCAAAGCGTTTGACAAGAAGGATGGAAATTATTATTTACTACTCATGGTCTTCATGAGTTGTTAACTTTTAAATTGATCTGAAAAAGCGTCCAGATGTCAGCCATCAATTTGGCGAAAACATAAAAAACTCCTTCAGGTATGTTACGTGCGTATGACGTATGCACATAGCATAATTTAGACTGAGAATACCTCCCCCCTTTGCGAAAGCGAAGAAGTTCATAAACTATAATCTACACACAACAATAATCATATCCTCGTAAACTTTATAGGCGTGAACCTGCGGTATTTACAAAAAATTGAAAAAAATCGCTCGCATCCCTCGAAGGAGTATTGAAGTTAACGTTTTTTTTTTTTTAATTTCTCTATATGATAAAAGTGATTGATGGTTATAAAATATTCGTCCCCAGCCAAATATAATTTTCTTACTTATTATATTTGTTCTTCTTTTTTCTTTAATAAAACACTGATGACTGAGCTGTAATTTGTCTTTAATTACAGTATTAATGCATTCGCTAACAGTTGTTCTGAGATTAAGAACATACGTGTCGGGAATAAAATAACAAAGTGAACATATATTGTATGCGTATATATCTGAAATTTGTTACGCAAGAAATGAAGACTTAAAACATATCGTGATTTTCTATCATCTTCGACACATTTTGAAAATAAACTTACAACTTACTGTAGTTAACAGTCGTCGCTCGCAGGGTGATTTACTTTTTTTTTTTTTAAGAATTCAATTAAATTAAAAATCTTCTTCTTTTCTCTTCTACCTTCAAAGGCGTACTTAAGCCATCTGTCTTAAAATTTATATGATATTAATATTTCCAATTTATTGCAGATAGTTCCATAGCAACATTTTTCACAATAAAGAAAGAAAATGTGGAAAGATGGGCATCTTTTCTACCAGAAATTGTACCAACATTTTGCGAACTGCTTTGGTTTTAACTTTGAATTCAAAAGAAAGGAAAGTGTAGATATGCAAAGAGAAGACGCGTGGCATAGCAGTAAGCGGTGGAGAGCTGATGGAATAAGCGAAAAGTAAAACGAGCAAAGTGACATGGTAGTGTGACAGGGAGAAGGAAGCACAAGTCGTTAAGTACAAGTCGGGGGATTAAGTTTTAAGATCGGTCGTCAAATGAAAGTCGCACAGTCATTAAGTAGAGCCAAGTGCAGTAACTAAACCTTTGGTTTACTCTTTGAATTATTACTTTTTCTTCCTATTTGAATTACCCGTAAATTTGAACTATAGTGTACATGCGATATCTATGGCCTATGCTGTAATTGAATATTTTACATATCAAAATTATTCGGTCCGAGCCAACTGCATTTAATTGATTCGTTCGTCGAGATATGTTCGACATATCGGCGGATGGGTCTCCCGTTTGAATTGTTCATACAACCAAGCAAATTGATGTGAAAAAACTTTGCTCAAACGGGATGTTTTATTTTGTCTATCGAATCGTTATAAGTATTATGTATATAGATCTCTGTGAGATATTAAATTATTGTAATCTTAGAAAATGAACGCTTTAAGACAAATAAGGAAAAATAAAAATTTGGCACTGTTTTAATTTAATTAAATGATCTATTTCTTGAGAATTAATTTTAATTTATTTATCCTTTTTCTTTTGTGGTCTTTCTTTTTTCATTCATTTCTTGTGCTCAATACTGTCGTTTAGCTATTTTGCAACCTAACCCCGATGCACTGCATTGCGTTGTTCTTTAGCGTTTCATCTGCGTGAAGCTTCATTGCATAAAGTGAAAATAAACCACGCTATTGCACAAACTGAAATTAATAAAATTACACAAAGAAAGCGGAATTTAATTTATGCCAAAAGTTTCTAATAGTTCACTCTCATTACGTGGCAAGGCGTAGTACTATTCAACTTTACTGTTTCAGCAACAAAAACCAAGGCAGCAGCTTTTTCTCATTTCTATTATTATTATTATTTTTTTTTTTTTTTGAGCAGAAAACTTAACTAATTGAACAATATTATTCCGACCATGATTAACAATAAATAAAGAAATAAGAGAAAAACAAAAAGACTAGAGGAGAAAGCAAAAAAATAAAATCTTTACGCTTTGTTAGCCCAGAGGAGGTATTGTACGATGTAGCATAAGCAAGTTAAATAAAAAAAAAAAAAAAAAAAAAAAAAAAAAAGTAAAAAAAAAAAAAACAGAAAGAAAAAGAGGGGAGGGGGTGTAGTTATATTCTTTACCACTTGTCTAAGTTATGTTCCACTGTTTTTTTTCAAAAAAAAAAAAAAAAAAAAAATTCTCTTTCTTATTAGTTATTATTAGATTTGTATAAGAGTTTAGTTTAATGCGCCGCGCCGCGCCGCGCCCCACTTAACGACAAGATGTTTGAAATTCAAACGAATTTTTTTTCACCAGTTTTCCTTGAAAATTGAATGGTCTTTACCGAAAAACAAAAGAATGCAAAGAAGGATATTAAGGCTTGCGCGACACGATATGTATATACGTATAACTTAAAGACTTAAGACTCATATGCGGTTTACACTTACCAAAGGTGGATAAGATAAATAGCGATCGCTGTTCATATTATAATATGATCCATCTGGCGGCGGAGCAGGTGACGGGGACGGAATATATACGGCCTTGTTGAGTAACATTTGATCGTCACGTGCTCGGTGATCCATAACATTCGTTGCGTTATTATTATGACGTGGGTGGGGTAAGGTGCGAGCATTTACTGAAAAAAAAAAAACGAATTTTTTTTTACAAAATTATTTTATTTACGAGAAAAGTGAAAAAAACGAATCAGTTATCGGCTTTCAATTAAAATACAGTATTGGGAAAAGATCACTAATTGCCTGAACCTTAGCAAATTAAATAAGAAAAAAGTAAGAGAATTGTATTCGATTGTGACCGAATGAGTATAGAAAACACCACCGTTATCCTAAAAAAAAAAAAACAAACAAGGGCGAAGATGCAAATGCTCGTATTCTGTATTGGGTGGGCGTGGCTGAGTTTTTCTACTTTCAGTATAAAACTGGTATTTACATTGTGCTCTATGAGTAACAAGTAAAAAACAATGCATAGCACAAGTGTTCAGAGTTTCAATTGTATAAACGTGTGGGCGTTGCAGAAGTGTTTTTTAACCTGTTTAGGCCATTTTCAAACTCTTTTGCGAATTTGTAGGTGATATTTACGTTTTCGCCTATCGGACAATGTTTATCGTAGATACTTGAGCAGACAAATACACAGGCATGCTTAAGTGTGGTCCGAATCTGTATTCACTTACTTTCTAGGATTTTTGAAGCTTGTTTTTGCGCTTTATGAAATTATTGAAAAAAAAGATTGCATTTCGATACACTATAATATTGCGTAGGCGTGGTCAATTTTACCCATTTTTCTACAAGTGCTGCAGCGTCGCCCATAGAACATAAATTCAAATTTTTGTGGATTTATCTGCCGTGGTTTGCAAAAACTACGGAAGAAACCAATTTTTTATTTCTTTTGAATAACAGAGGTGTTCCTAGCAGTGGTACTGTAAGCGTGTACTTCAATCGATTTGACACATTTTCAATACTGGTCCGTGTGCAAGAACTTCCAATGTTCCTGTGAATTTTGCATTTTTGCGACGACGGTTAACACAGACCTTGTATAGAAGGACAGATGGACATGCATAAATTAAGTCAGAATTTGATGTTGTTCGAGAATATATGTACTCTTGGGCGGTCTCGGAAGCTTTTTTTAGGCGTTACAAAATTTTCGATAAAAGAAAAATACCCTTCGTCTTTCGATGATCGGCGCAGCGGATCATGGGTTGCTGATTTGCTGAATTTCAGAAGAAGAAGAAGACATTTTTTTTTGGCCTTTTACTCTATGAAACTGAAATGAAATTTTTTTCTTCCAATGCAAACAAAGCTATCGTAAAAATTTAATGTTTGCTGATAATAAACTATAATTTTTCTTTCCCAGCAATTTTCTTTAATGCCTTAACTTCAACATAAGCTTTAGCAGCTTTTTTCAGCTCTTTTATGTATTTAATATTGTTGTACAAAACCATAGCGATTTGCATAAAAGCTGCTTAACAAACGTCCTTTAACATGTTAATATGAAGGCGTGCAAATAACGCATATTGTCGCATGCGTGTGCGAAGATGCCACGCATATGGAACGACTTGAAGATGAAATATGTTAAATTACAATAAGGTAAATAAATTCACCTATAGGCTGGGCTGTGACTTACGTAATAAAGTGCAGAAATGCACAAAATGTTATTATTAATACGAAGACGGAAGAGGACTTAACCCTTCGGTTAGACTATAATAGTAGAGAGTGATAAATAAGTAATAAAGTGCAAGAAGAACTATAGTTGAAATTAAACGATGAACATAAGGAAATTTTTAAGCTACATCGACAAGTAGCAAGTAGCAAAATGTGGGCAGAATATATTAATATTGGTATGTAGTAATAATTTGTCTAAATCGTCAGCTGAATATTAAATCAGATAATCATGTCGTAAATAGTAAATTGTAGATTAGAAAGGAAACCGCTAGCTCAAAGAGGAAAACAAATTAATTAAAATTTGAAGAAAAACTAGAAAGATTCGGCAGTGGCGGAATTACTTGCACCCATTACCTTACTTTACCATAGAAAAAGTTTAGAGAAAAAAAAGCGACCAAATTGAAATTTCGATACTTTATAATGTTGGATTAGCGACGCCTATTTTTCCTATTTCTGCTAAGGTCCATCCATCGAACATATATGGAGATCTTTACTTTTCTATGTGTTTTAGTAAAAAACCTAAACTTTTTTACATTTAAGGAGAGGAATTTTTATGTTGCCCTGTATCCGCGCCCATTGGCCGATTGGGGTCCTGTTTTATAACAATCTGCATGCAAGAGTTTCTTCCGATTTTGTTGAAGGAATGGGGGATATCTGAATTTTCGCGACTAAGAGAATGCTTAACATAAATATTACGGAACGGATAGACAGATAGACGGACATGTTTAAATTCAGTCTAAGTTTCATACTGATCAACATTATACTTTATAGAATTACTAAAGTTTCCTTATGGATATTGCAAGCTCTTTGGTGATATAAGTATATCCTCTTCGGTGATGGGTATAAAATGTAATCGCAAATTACTGCTAGCGTGAGGTTCTCATATGCCTTTCGGCTACGATGTTAAATTAATTGAAATTACTTTTATATATATTTGTGCTGCTCTTCTTCTTGTTGAAAATCAATGTAGAGTAAAAATATTGAGCTCACGTTACAACCATAAGATGTATGTCATTGTATGAACTTAACTATGGCTTTTAAAGATAACTAATAGTTAAAATGTTGAGAATAATCATAAACAACATGGCAGCTCCCACAGCGATGTAAATATGTACGCTATAGTAATAACTTTGAAAAGGAAAGTGCACGTAAGCGTATAAAACATGTAGAGGATAAAGTTAGACCAAGCTTTCGCCGTCATTATGAATATTTTATTAGTGAAATTGTTGAAATGAAAAGTAAAGATAAATAAGATACGTAAGCAGTTGCACTGGTGAATCGGAATTGGAGTGAGAAGCAGGTGTAGACAGATGCATTGCTACAGAGGCAGAAGTCGAGCGCAAAGCTTAGTATGTGATTTAAGCGGTATACGTAAGTAATTATAAAAATAATAATAATAATGATAACAACAACAATGGTCAGAGAAAAGATGGCAACAAATTAAATTGTACGGTATATGGACAAGGTATAGGCAGAATTGCAACTGCAATGATAGAAAATCAAAATAAACAAATGAATAATAAAATACAAGAAAAATAAGGTGCTCTGTGTGTAATGACGCACAAATTATGTACATATAGATATACATCAGTAATTAAGACGAAGCAGAAAAGATGCGATACGTACTACACGGTCGGATGGTTAGGCCCTAGTAGCAGGCCAAGTTGTAGCTAATGTGTTAGCAACGATACGAATAAAATTTGTTATCAAATCGCTTTCTCTTACCTCAATCGATGCTTAAATTACTATCTAGTGCGGACGGAGAGACATAGAGACGCAGAGAGACACAGGAAAATGTTTTTCGCAGACATTACACAGACAGACAGATACACGCATGCACATACATACCGACAGACTGGCAGACAGGCTGACATGGTTAAATCGATTTAGAATTTGATGTTGATCGGATATATATATACTTTGTGTGGAGCCTCTGAAGCTTGTTTTTGGGCACTGCAAACGTGTTGACAAAATGAATATATCTTTCATCCCTCGTTGATGGGTATAAGGAAGAAACGGGTATCATGTAATAATATAATTATCATAATTGAAGTGCGGTTAATTTACAATTTTTGGGCGGACACTTTCAAAATATATTAATTTTTCGACATAATAAAGAACTCTTTCATAAAGCGATTTGCGGTTTTTTGTTTTGGCTATTTTTTCAAGCGAAACACTTTTTAGACAGATATAAAAGTTAATCGTAATTTTTAATAAATGCTTCAGTTCAGTTCAGATAAAAACTTTCCATTTCCAAATTCCGTTATAAGCTGAAATGTGAATTTTTCATGATAAAGTTTTTTTTTTTTTTTTTTTTTTTTTTTTTTTTTTTTTGCACTCACAGGTTTATGGCTTATATGAAAAATGTGAAAATCAAATTAAAGCTTACATTGCACTCTTCTTTTACTTGGAGTAATTCAAGGGGGGGAAAAAAAAGAAGTTTTTTTTCGCAGAGATGAGATGAAATTAAAATGGGAAGAGGCATCTAAAACATTTACAAAGCAATTAAGACAAAAAAAAAAAAAAAAAAACCTTTCGTTACTTCAACAAAGAGAATTTTAAATAATTCCATTTTTCGACTAATTGAAAATGTCCCTCTAGCTATAAAATGCTTTTCTACGCACAAATGCATTCTTTTCACTATGCATATATTCCAAGCACTTGGAACAAGAATTAATGCTAATTGTTTTGCAGCGAAGACCTTCGTATTTAATCATTAGGCACAAACACACTTTCACATTGAATATACATAAATCTTTAAAGAAATGTTCATCAAATTGTCATTTGACTATGAAAAGTCTAAGTAACTCAGAAATTCATTGAAAGATCTTAAAAAAGCGGTCTCCTTATTGACTGGAATTATATTCATTAGAAAACGGCTGTCGCTGTTCGCTGTATTGTCTTTGTTTTTATATATGTGGTTTTCATGCTTCATGCCTTACTCTGCCTCGTTACAAATACATAATGTTGTAACTTTATGCAAATATATGCATTGTTTATTAATTTTATCTAACTAACTATTAATTATTTGATTTGATTGAAAAAAAAGCCATTGAAAGCACTCCGCAACATCAAATCTAAGCCTTGAGTTTGTTTATTAACATTTTGCTCTTTGTAAACTTTTTCATTTTTGAACTTTTCAAAGGAATTACTTAAAGCAAGATGATGATGAGATACTTTATATACTTTATATACATTATAGTTTGTATATTTTAATCTTAACTTACACAGTAAAAGAAAAGCGTTTAAGATAAAGTTTGCGGTTTTACAACAAATTTAAAACATTCAACAAAGTAAGTATGGAATATCGTCCGGCCGCTTAATTCCTAAGTATTCCAGATTCATGCGATTAAGAGAAAGAGTGGACCAGTTTCTGGGCAGAAACTTAAAAGGAATGCGACAAATGATTTGATTAAATTTGATTTGATTTCAAAAACAATTGGAAACACTATGGTGGGCC